TATTGTACCGGGAGGAAAAAAAGGGTAGGTTGGAGGAAACGTTTGATCGCCATATTCAATTGGTCCTGTTTCGAATTCCCGTAAAGAGAACGCGGTGAATCATGCAGTCGTATTAACGTGGCAGAAATTGGGCGATTAATTATCGGTTTCGATTTGGATTATCTTTTTAGAATTGTTTATACAATTATTTTTTATGAAAATCTGTTATATTTAACAGTGAACATTCTTCATGGAGAGTAATAAATTTCATCATAATCGTACCCATTTCGTTACAATGAATGTAAAGCGCATAGTTTAGAAGATTAAGTAGAATAGGTCACAGATTAGTCAGGCATTCCATTCGGTCTCTACGCAGTGATACAAATAAATGGCAAAGCGTACGCATCGAGTAGATTTTAAAATTAATTAACAAATTGAATCTATAAACATAAGAGAAGTATTTTTGTTGAGTCTATTAAAGATAGAGGAATACTTTGGAGTATTTTCTGTCTCTCTCTCACACAAGTTGATAAAAAGGAAATAAACTCTTGCATTCGTTTTTTGTTCAATAATCTGGCTCTAAATCTCTCATTTAGGTATTCGATTTATGTTCATTTGTTTATGACTGAATCACGAATTACGGGTCAATATGTAAATATGTTGAATAATTTTGTACATAGAAGTAACAAAACATAAAATTAATCGTAGAAACAGAATGAAAATGTTCTCTCGCTTTAGAGTTAATCAACGTGAATGAAGTTAGTATGATACGAGTTGAATATAATTCTGCAAAATTAACAGGAAGGAGGAAGATAATAATGTGTAGGGAATAAAATTAGCTGGGGATAGGAGCGCGTACGTACACTTGGCAGGGGCCTTTGTTTGTCCGCCTTCACGCTTTTCCTGGCCAGCGACCGCGTTTTTTTTAAATAATAGCTTTCGGTGTCTCCTTTAACCGAGCTAATAAAATGTAAAAAGTTTTCTTTGTACATTTAACGGCGCGGAAAAGGTTCTTGACCCTCCGTTCCACAGCCAGCGGATATAATCGCGTTCCTTTTCATTTTCTCGCGTATCCACAGCTCCTTTGCCGCTCATGTCTCTTTTCTACATACGTTATACCTTTTGATTCGGTCGGCGCGCCATCAGTAACACAAGCTGCACCTGTTTTAAACCTTCATACGAGCAACCCGACGATGCCACTGCGAATATTATTATCTTCGCCTAGCGGGTCGCCGCTTCTCTCTCCAAGTTCTTTTATATTTCGACGACGAGTTCAACAAGCGATAACCAACTTTCATCCATATTTCTCCTTTTAACAGTGTTCATTAACATATGCATGTATATTCCCTTTCATAAGTTTTAGAACAATTTCAAATGCTTATATTATCTATCTAAAATCTGATAGGCGTTTCAAATTAGTAATCATCAAAGACTATTCATCTGATCATTGATACAGAACACCTCACTTGTTTTACAATATGTTTTAAATTGATTCTGTTTAAACTAAGTGATGAGATTTAAAATATTAACACCGTATAATCGTTGAGGATGAGGTTTACGGCTTATGAAGACGGAAATAGGAGATGGTAAAATGGAATAAATCGACGTTAAATGCCGAGGAAGGATTTATTTCGGTTGGTACGGCGAGCCGAAAAGAGGCGGTACGAATGGCAATAACGAATGGGATAATAATTGAAATTAGGAGGCGGCGGTGGTGCAGGAGGCTAATACACCGACACGGCCGACGAGCTGGCAATTAAGTCCTGACGTATCGCCACTCCGGTCCCCGCCTTAAGCCAATTTCCCCAATGATGGAATGCAATACTTCCCGCCGCGTGTCACTTCATTAACTCTGCCCTAGAAATCTCTCGTCGACGATCTCTCGTGCGATCCGAGAAATTAAACCACTTTTCCGCTTTTTCCGAGCTAATGTGTATTTCACTGGGAAATTTAGAATTCTTGGATTGACTAATTTAGTTTCTTTAATTTTCCCAAGTGAGATTTAATATTTTCTCATTACTTACCTACAAAACATCTGATCGTTGCAATTGAAAGTAAAAAAATCTTGTTCAGCCTTCACAACATAAAATGGAAATTTCTGTTTGAACATGCGTCGAGTCAATTAGATAGGTATTAAATAGCTCAACCTTTGCGGATATCCAACGCAATTTACTGTGGCTCCGGAAAAACGCTTATGCTGTGTATTAGCTTGGAAATTTCAGTTACGCAACGCGAGCGACAAGCAGAAATTTCAGAAAAAAAGCTATTACCGTCGCTTCGCCGATGTTTAACGACACGAATGGCCGGAGAGCCGATTGCCTTCGCGAGGTTAAGGGTTAAATATGTCCCCGATAAAACGCAACGCGTTCGATAACGTTCCCATATCGCGGCCTTAATTAACCGGCTCGATTTCTATCGAGAATGGCGTTAATTTCACGCAAATAGAAAAAGCTGAAATCGACCGAAAAAATTTGCCAGGTTAAAAAGAATTCTACATTCATCTGCATGGAAAGTCATTTACTAATGTAATGGAATAATCAAATCAGATTCTGCTGGTAGGTGCTTTGAAAATCAACAATAAATCATCAGAAAACATTTCACGATTTAGAAAAGAACTTATATTTCTTTGATATTTATTCTCATTTAAAGTTTGCATTGAAGTACGGTCACTATTTCTTCGCGGACATTTGTTACATTCCCTCTTTTGGTCCCTCGTTGACACGTGTCACCGGAATTACGTTTTCGAAATTTGTCTTGGGTCCCTATCGAGAATGGAAGGTCCGGATTTGCCTTCGACGCCGACATTTCTCGAATCCCCTTGCAGATTTGCCCGACTTAGCGCGATACCTGAGTACGATCCGCGGGGAATTCACACTTTTGTCGATATCTAGATTTGCCTTATTGCCTCTACCCTTTTACTGTCCGATACTCCTTCCCGTCTTATTTATTCGTAGCTTTCATTCTACTTTATACATGATCGTTCACAGTGAAGATTGTACGATTGCACGTCATTGGCTTAAAAAGAGATAATCTAATTACTCTCTTTGAACTCGTTGGATTTTACATATTAATCGACTGCCTATTTATGCCAGTACTTGAACGAATTTTTCTATCCATTGACAACAGGATCCTTTTTATACGCGGTCCTGACAGTTTCGTTTATTTTTCTCCGACTCATCACGCAGCATTCAAATTACGCCGGACAGAAAATTTCGTTTCGCTAATTAACAATCTCGTTATCGTTCGCGAGCGATTGCACAGACCAAAGTGCTCGACATTAATTTGGCGTACTCTACACGGCACGAGAGGAAGAACCATTTTCCTCTTGCTTGATTTCCTCCACTTATCGCCGCGATTGTCTCTCGAAGGGACCGAAGAAAAATAATTGCACCTACTGAGTGGACCGGGAAGGACGATAACGATACTGGGTAACGACTCTGACGCGCAACATAAATTCCTGACGAGAATGGAAATTAATTTCGTTTTGCCATTCATTTCAGGCAATTTGTACTCTCCGTCTCCTTCGATCTCCCGCGCCGCCGTGTCATTTTTATCGGGCAATTTTCTCCTCCGTTCAGAACTTTTTTCTTTGCCTTCTCTCCCTCGTTTCATTTTTCTTGAAACTAAAGCGTATGAATTTTAACGAAGACGAGGCGGGGGAAAGTTTCACGGGGTAAAATGTTTGCATTGCTTATTATCGATGCTATTAACGCTCTCGCTCGAATTCAACGAGCTAATTGCTTTTCTTCCCTTCGAACGACGCCGGGTCGTTTAATCTTATTAACTCCCATCGATTTTCCCGTCAACCACCTCCTCCTCGAGCAGTTTCGAATAAACATGAACGGAGAAAGGAAGACAGGTGAAGACGACACGCGGGCGACAGGTACGTTTCAAACCGGTAACCCGCTCGACCGTGAACCCATCTAAACTCAAGTAACGATATCTTAATAAAACAGAATAAGGACAGATGAATTGAGAACAACTGCTTAATATTATCACCATCATCACTTTATTAAAAAGCATAAGCCCTTTAGGACATACAGAAGATAACAAAAGTAGTATGACAAACTTAAGGTATTAACAATAGATGATACAAATATAAACTTAAAAATAAAACAAGAATAACAAGTTGTAATTAAAGGGAGGATTCTGAAATGCTGTAGGAATTGCAGAAATCAAAACTATAATGTTTCATGTAATGATTGACATAATCATATTCATAATAATTGATTATGTGGTAACTGATGAAACGTTTTATGCAGTCACTGATATAATAATTGATACGATATTGCTCATAACGATTATTCTATTGCCTAATACAAGATACAGTGATTCATAGAGTAATTGATACAACGTTGTGTTTGGCTAGTTAATCAGTTTTCGAAATCCGGTGGTTAGAGGAAGGCCGGCAAGGATGTTGGTCGTTCCCGGAGCATTAGCCGGGTACATGCACCTTACCACTGTCGCTTTCTGACCGAACGACCGACTTTCCATCCTCGTCAGGTTTTCTTCCCTCGCCGATCGGCCAATCGGGTTCGATCTTTAAGCCGGCGGTTCCTTTGGAGCCCGCGGCCGGCCGGTCCGCAGCGTGAAAGCGCAGTGGAACGACCGCGAATAGTGCATGCGCGTTGAACGTGGGCGCCCGCGTCACCCCTTCCCGTCGTCTTATATATCTATAAGGGTAGCTACCCTCGGCGAGGCCGGTCAGTTCTTGCCCGTTCACGCTCGGCGTATCGTCGATCGATCTCCTACCGTCCCGTCTCGATTCGCGACCTTGTTCTCGCGACACGATTCGTCATCGCGTGACGAAATCCGGTCCGACCTTCCCGGTGCCGAACGACTACGTGATCATTCGCGTGTGTCGATTGTGCTTCGCGTTGTTCGCGGGGCAAAAGTGTCACTGCCAGAGGCAATAGAGTTACCGACGAACTATCGAAGAGGATAAATGGTCCCATTAACGGTTGGATCGCGCTACCGATTCCTTGAACACGCGGCGATCCATCGACCTGTCTCTGTTCCAGCTTCGTGAACCAGGCAACATTCCTCACGGGTTTCGCTACCGGTCCCCCAAGTTAAGCGTTCGCCAATCACCAAAGGTAAGTAAAAATACAGTTCATTTTTTTAGTTTATATTTTAGTCAATTTTTATGAGTTCGAAAATCTAGGAACAGTACTATATATTTTTCGAAGGCGACACGTTTTTATAACATATTGTTTAGCTATGGGTTTGAGAATTTATTTAACAACACTGCGTATTGCAAATGCCCAAACGTAATTTAAAAAGTATTCAAACTTTGATAAATCTTACTCAACTGAATTACTATTCGTTTTTTTCGCTTGATACATTGGGATCGGGATTTATCGATACATGGATTAACATTGATTATCGGAATCTCCATTAAAAGAACATCCGGTTATCGGAATTTTTAAATGTGAACAATGGTTCAGTAAACCAAAATGATGAACATGTATTGATGAGAAATCACGCGCGCATCATTCATTCATGCAGGTGTTTCTGTTTTGCTTTCATCTGTCTCAGTTTTACACCTGAGAGACTTTTGTAAAATAATTTTCATATAAGAAAATTGGATAGATTAAGAGTTCTTCCGAGAACAAATGAAAAGAACACGTCTGTGTATGAAATAATTTCATTTCTGCATATCTTTCTTTTGTTTTAATGTGTCTCAATTTTCATATCTCTGTCGGCGAAGCATCTATCCGCCTGGAAAACAATTTCCATACAAAGAAAGTTGGATAGATTATGACAGGAAGTTTGCTCGCATGCTTTAGAAGTAAAAGGTCTTTCGTACCAACGTACGTATTTATTCAACAATGCGTGCAATGATTGGTTCAGGTAATCTAGATTCCGCCGTGGTGTGTTTAGCATTAAATTTCATAGACATGAGCGCCCGCGGTTATAAATATAAAATAGCTAGAGTCTCTACCAAATTGAAGCGCGGAAGCGCGTTGAAGGAACATTCCATGGAACTGCGATATAACTTTATGTTATACTTCAAAAGCGGGGAATGTTATTCGCGCTTTGGTTCGTAATTAAGTGGCGTGCATCGAAATGTACCATTCGCATAGGTATATCTCCATTTACGTCTTCAAAGTCGTTGCAAAATGTATTGCTGAATGAAATATTGTCAAAATGTATTTAAGACAAGTCGGACGTGTTATATTTTAATGAGCAAGTGTATTAAAATAAGTCGCATTTCAATTCGTGAATGATATTTTCCTTATTCACACTTCGCATCCGGTATCTTTTATTCTAACAGATAAGATTTGAAATATCTCAGATATTTTAACCAATGATTTAGATTTTTTGTCGACAAGTTTCTATATAGAAAATTAGTAAATTCCAAGAATAAAAATTAAATCGAAAGGAAAATTAAAAAAAAAATCGAAACAAAGAAAAATTCTATCGAAATTGTTCACTGCTGATTGTACGATGTCTTATCTAACTACAAGCATGTGCTTTCTTATATTTAATGTTGTATGATTTTCCACTTGAGGAGAATTAACACTTTATCGAATAATTAAAAATGTTTTAAAACTTAAGAAACAGGAAAGTAATTATTATATCATTGCAGCATCGATTAATCTTCGGAATTAGCAATTCAATTACTTACTTTTGATCCTTCCGAACACGATTAATGTTATTCAAATTGAAAATTCTCGTCGCGGGTTTCATATCTATTCGATGATGTTCCTCTCTCTTTCTCTCTCTGTATTTGGCCCGTGAGTAATGCGAAAACAGTGTCCGATGGGCGGAATAATGTTCTTCCGTAGTCGATCGAACCGATTAAAGGGAACTCGAGATTCGATTCGATTCACTCGACGGGTTTGTATCTAGGTAGCTTCCGCGAGGTATGATGTACAGCCGGGTGACAAATCCCTCGAGACACTTGATAGCTCTGAATCGAACAACAGAAGTCTGTCAATCGATGATAGTTCGATTGCGTTCGATTGATTAATAAGACTCTTGCTTGGGTGTCACGTAATCCACAATTTTATCTAGTAGTTATTATTAGATTATTCCCGTTTCATCATCAGTTTTTATTATTACCATACACGTATTGTTTTTATAAAGGGCCAGGGATATTATTTCGTACATGTTTCTTAGATAAGGCTTTTAAATACATTTTCTTATCGAGAATCCGACAATCTGCTAAGTAAAACGTTTTCTCGTTTCCCAGAATGTTTGAATTAAGAGCGATACAAAGATCGATGTAATTCCGGATAAGACGAAAAGAGAGAAAAAGAGAAATCTTGGTAGAGAATCGAAGGAAAGGGAAAATCTTGATGGAGAGGGCCGGTCTGACGGTGTTGCGGTTCGTTGCCGCGGTTTGATCGAAAGGGTATTTCCTCGGCATACAAGAGAAAAGTTCTTCCGGGAAGATAAACTGCTCTTCTCCCTCCTCAGCGTTCTTGCTCGTGGAGGAAGTTGCCCGGGCGCGGGAACTTTTATACAAGATTCACAAAAGATTTTTTCCCACCCACGATGTTCGAATATAATTCAGGGAAGGAGGAAGGGGATCGAAGTTTCTTGTAGAGACTCGAGCGTGCACCTATGTGTACAAAACCCGTGGGTAGGAGGTAGAACAATCTCGAGGGAATTATCCGCGAAATTAATTATCAACTCGGTTCGAGCCTATAATGCGTTCTTAAATTAAAAGTAATGAAAATCAAAGCCGGGCGGAATTAGCGGCCGGATACTCGCCACGCAAATGGAATATAAAGTGTAACGGGCATGGCAACGGATCTACCTTCCACGATCCACAGGCAATTAGTGCTCGCAAGTTTTGTAGATTTAACAAGTTTCAAGCACGTCGAAGAATGATAATTTTCCGTCGGCGAATAAATCCGTCGTCGAACGGTTCCCGTACTCGCGGTTTAACGAGTCGCCACTCGTCGTCCCGCCACTTTCTTTTTTTTTTATTCCTTCTTTGCGCAATTAACTCGAACGAGAGGACCGTTCCCTGGAGAGGAAATTAAGATCCTTGGACGTCGAACGATCCTCGTGAGGGAGGCTGCGTTGGTCGCGCAAGCGATACAATTTTATGGAAAGGGTCGTTCGATGACAAAAACGTTCTCCAATGTTCGTCGAGCCGGAAAATCGAGTCGTTCGGCTCAAGCGAAAAACGGACGAACGGCACCGTGGCTCCTCATCCATCGATACGTCGATGATTAAAAATCGCGATCGAGGCGAATCTGGGCGGTGAATAATTAGTCGGCGCTAGACGAGTCTGCCGCGTCTGTCGTGCGTGCATACCTTTTGTAATCCCGGCTGGCTTGAAAAGTAGGTCGAACTTTCGCGGGGTTAGAAATTAAGCCTCCCACCCTGAACGCGCGGAGTGCATCGTTCCTGTCGACGGATCGATCCCAGAATTATTAGGTAATTACCGCGGTGCGCCGGGAATAATTTCAGAATCGATTAGAGATGGTGGAGAGGTAACGCTGAGATCGCTAGTACGAAGTTCCTCGGCTGGAATTAAGTGCCGACTCGTCTGATCGCTCGGTTCTTCCACCGTGCTTCCTGTGTTCTTAAATCGTCCGCCACAAACTTCGTACACGTGTAACCGGGAATGATTGGATATTAATAACACAATCGTTGAAAAGTTTCTAGTCGAGCTCTGGTGGAAATTGCTTTTCGACACAGTTTCGAATCGGTGTCGTTAACGAAACTCGGTTCGAAGGTGGACGGACGCTTAAAGAACGATAAAACGGAATGTAGGGGACGGGAAATGAAAGAGAGATGAAATTTTCCAGGGAATCGGACCGTATCCACGAGGATGATTCTGTACGAGACGCGTTTGCAAGCCTGTTTCTCTTAACGTCTCCATTCCGCGAGTCGTCCTAACCGAAGAGGGGCTGATACGAGCCTGCCTGGAGAGGTCACGGGGTGGAGGCGCGATAAAAATAAAGAAAATGGGGGTGCCGGATGTAGAGCAGGCTAAGAGACGGCTCCAGGATATTCTGAGGAAGGCACAGAAGCTCGAGATACCCACGCAAGAAGTGATCTCGACACGGACCGCCCAGAAGCTTCTTGCCAGGTCGAGGAACGTCCTGGCATGGACGATCTGGATCACCGTTTTTGTCCTGTTGCTCACCGGTGTGGTGTACGCGCGTTGGCCCACCAGCCACGAGGTCGAGACCATTAGGACTGTTCTCAGGCGAACGGTGAGTTAACCCCAAAATCATTTTATTCGCTTCGTCACTCCCCTGAGATTTCAATTCCGTGGTACGTGATGGAATCGCGGTAGAGAAAGATTAAAAGTCAATCTTTACATAAAGATACAATTTGCAGAATATTTATTTAAGTATAAGAAAATTTTTAATACATATATCTAGAATTATGTCGATCAAAGTAAAGTGATATTTTAGAAATTTTTTAAAAAAGAAAATATATTAAATAAACCGCGTAACTTAGCGAATTCTCGTCTTCGGATATTCGTCTAGTTGTTTGTTGTCAGATCTCGACAGAAAAAATCGGGGATCGATAGTTTCTAGAGCTCGGTAATTGGTACTCGATGGAACCGACGGATGCAATGGTTTTTGCGACACAGCAATTATGAAATGACGCGGTGGCGCCGGGGTATCGGTGACAATTCCGTGTTCCACCTAACCGGAGTTTTTCCGATACAAGAAATAAGTAGTCCGTTGTCGATGAAAGTTGCGCGTATCCAGAATAAATAGTAGGAAGCCGTGGGAGTGGGAATTCAGAAGGGTAGATGAAAATTTGCTAGGAAAATGGACCGTCTGAGCAATTGACCGAGGCGAACTCAGGGGAACCGACTGATACTGGCTCCGAAGCTTCGCCGAATGTAATCGTTGATATTTTCAGAAAGAATAAAATGTATCTCTCGTGGTCGTCTTACTCGCTATATTCGTAATATCGTTGAGACTAATAGATTCAAACAGAGCTGGAAGCGAGATGACGACGTACCGTGTAAAGATCGATCGGTTCCTAACCGAGGAGAACCGAGCCTGCCACTCGGCCGCGGTTCGATAGAATGGAAACGGTTAGCCGATAACTATTGTTTGCTGCCTTCCATTTACCTGAGTGAATTTTCCATGCCGCGGCTCGACTCGTAAACCATGCGAAACCGTTTCCCGTCTCGTCTAATAAACTGTCGTGACTTTCTCCAAGCTGCGTCTTCTATTATGTAAGCAAATGGTAAGCGTTGCGCTTCGGTTCCTGAAGTCGACTTGTTCAAAAAGAAGACCCGATCGAATTCCCTTGTAATTATTTTTCAATACGAAATGGAGCGAGCATTTGTCGCGATATTAAGCGAACTCGAAATTTCACTAACGCGCGAGGAAATTAAAACGCGAACGCGGGTCCGGAAAATAATAAGCGCGCTTGGCACGGCTCCAAAAACCGGCCGCGGTGCTCGTTTTTCTCGCGACACCTTATACGCGCGGATTATTTCATCAAGTCGGGTTATCCCCATGGCGCTGTGCCCGGGGGATTTGCAATTCCATGCCTTGGTTGTACACGCCGCTGCTGCCTAATAGTGTAACGTCGAATAATCCTCGCGCTACGCAGTCTCGTGCGTCAACGTCATTGACAGATGACGCTATCGATAGAGTTGTTACCAGAATGCGTTGTTACCAGCCCTTCGTACTCCGCCCCCGTGTCATCCCAGCCCTCGTTTACAATTTCTCTTTCTGCATAAATTGGGCTCATTTCAGATCACCGACTTATTTCAATGACAGCAACGTCGTTTCAATTAAAACTCATCCGTCATATGATTTTCCTTTACAAATATAAAATTCTGTGCTCAATATTCTTATTACGAGGTAAAAATTATTTATGAAGAAGATTTATATTTCGATTTGAGATTTTGAATTCATTGGTTTCTGAAGTTAATAAAATTATAATACACGTCAATGAACCGTGGAATATCGAAGAATATTATCGACGTGCTTTAAACAGTAATGTCGTTGGTACTGCGGAACTCCGTCAAAGGAATGGCATAATTAATGCAAAAACGAAAGTGGAAAATAGCGCGTAATCGAATCTCTGAAGCGAAATGGAACGAAGTTAGTAGCCCGGCGATGAACCACGGCAACGCGACGACTCGCTTGAAACTCGCCTAGCCTCGCTTCGTTTCGCCGAAAAGCGTCTTCTCTACTGCAATTTATTTCATTTCTCCGCCCCAATTTCATACTTAGTTTCACATTTAGTCTTCTCAAGGAATCAACGCGGCCTAATGATTTATCTAATATTCCTAATTCTGTTTTCTATTCGCTTTTTGTCCGCAATTAAAACAAAAAGATCTAACGTATATGCAAGGTAGGCAAATATTTCATATTTCTTATCTGCATTTCGTTCATCGATTGGAGAAGAAATAATAAGGGTCGACCGAAAATATGTACGAAAATCAATGAACCCAGTTACCGACGTCTGGGTCGTTCGTTAAAGACACGAAAATGAATTTCTTTTCGGAATTATTGATTACATTTGGTGGTCGTTTATTTTCGCCGAAAGGAACGTTAATTGGTAACATAGACGAGGTCTTTTTCAGTATCTATCCGCTGGCTACGCGGGAAAATGATTTCGACCGATCAAGCAGATAGATCGCGAGCCGTGCAATCGGAATAGCGGTACAGAGACAATCGGGGCACATGAACGTGTCCATAAAAAACAATTTGCTTTGTCGATTTGTTTGAGAGCCGAACCGTAACGCAGTTACGGTTCCAATTTAGTCGACACCGCTATGGATTATTAAACCCTCAGAGCCGGTGACGAAAACCGTTTCGCGATGCCACCCGGGAAAGATTCGCCGGAACGATTTCAATTGTTCTCTTTCTATCGTTCAATGTACGTACTTTGTACTACATGCAATAATTGCGAGACGCTTTGTCTCGAATCATTAAAAATGAAACATCGTTTCCAATTAACGGTCGAGAAATTAAATTCGTTCAGTAGGAAATTATAATTTAATTATAAAAATATTGGAGCACTTGTAGGAAATTTTCATGAATATTTCATCGTACGGATTTCATAAAATATTTGGAATAGAAATGAAAGACGCAAGTATGGCGCTCAAATATTCTTGCGATTAATTGGAATTGAGGAGGAGTTCGAAAAAATTCAATGAATGGTATTCATAAATCGAAGCGAAGGTTACATACCTGAAAAGTAGCTAACGCACCGAGATTCCGACTTGCGGATGTCGCAGCTGTAATCGAGTTAATTACTCAATTAAGTTACTGCTCGCTAATCAAGTGAAAATCTCTTTCGGGAAGCGTTGACGAAGGCGGCGCGGTGCATTATACTTTTATTTCAACACCTTTCAAAGGCTAATTTACTGCGGTGTCATTTATCAGCCCCTTGTACTCGCTGTTCCGCGTTATTAAGCGACGCTATACCTACCGGCGCCGCGTTGAAACTTTGTAATTTAAACGAATGCCACCAGCTCTGGATACCGGCTATTAATTCATTTTATATGAATCGTGATTCATCGTTATCCCTGCGTTAGCTGCTTCGAAATTTTCTCCAAACTTGATACCGTTGCCCTCCTATTCTTCATAAGAATATCAAGAATTCAATAATAACAATCCTTTCGAATGAATTTTTTTTACATAAAATGTTAACTCATTTGCATCATTATCACTAATGAGATCTACCATCATTTTCATGTTTTCGTATCAGATAGTATGTAATTGTTATACCACTCATTATATGGAACGCTGTATTAAATATTATATCAAGCATTACAGCAATTGTGGCATTCATATTTTTGTCATAATATTGATGAAAGGTATTATTTTAAATGTCCCAGTTTCTGTTCACTTTACAATTTCTACTCACTGGCTTAAAAGTGCATATAAAGTTACACAGAAAAAGGCAGTGAGAAGAAGTTGTAACGTGAATAGAAATTGGAACGTTTGCTATATGTAATGCAAACATGTTAAATGGATATTGCTACAGATTGTTCTATTTTTGAAAGGTACAGAAAATTTTGTTTGTGCCGAGCGTATTCTTGTTTCGTGCTCGGCAACAATCGCGATCGAATATTTAGTTGGAAATCGGGGTAGGAACGGTAAGCTCGAGAGCGACGTTCCCTTAGGATGATATCTCGAAAGAGAATTTATGTTTTCAGTCGGGGGAGCAATAACGTTACATGGCGTGGCACGGGTACCGGCACACGCCACAGCGTTGCAGTTTCCCCGAAGAATAATCTTCCCTGTCTTGGAATTCCTTGCCATGCGCGTACCTACCCCTCGTATCTCGTGTATATCCTTTTCGCGTTGAACCGTACATATCTGACTCCATATCTGCACGTTCCATCAATCCTGTTCTCCGGTTTGCATTTTTTCCCTGTCCAATCATCGATTCGTCCTCGCGGCCACTCCGACTCCGCGTTCTGACTGTCGGATTCCTCCGGCCGTATTTTTTTAATCGAAGATCAATTTTCATGAAACTCGTTCGTTGTGATTTTTGTACATTCAAAATTTTACTCCGTCCAATTAATAACAATGAGCTTTTGGGAGAAGGTATTGTTTTCTCAACATGTCAGTAGAAGTAGTGCCTGTCAAGAGATACGAAATTTCGAATGTTTTGTAAAATCACAAAGAGTTGAAAGTCGTAGAAGAACGACGTTTGTGTAATAAGAAACGGTTACTATTTCATTCCTAATCACTCAGTTCCCTTTATGCTAAAGATTTCCGATTAACCACTTAATTAATCCGTTTCTTCGTGGACGCGTACAGAGTGTCGACCTCATTATCTACAAACTTGGCTGGTAAATTAATTGTTGTCCGCCCCGACCCCTGTTCGGTCGAGGAAGGTAAACTCGGGTTTCCAACTTCCAATCAGCCGCCATTGTCCCGCGTGTCGTTTTGTTTCTTGTCGTTGCACCTTGTTCATCCGACGATGGTGACTGGGTGAAGATCACCGGCTCCCGAACACCGAGTGGAGTCGCGCGAGTTTTTCAAAGTATAATTCCTCTCAAGGAAGAATTCTCTGCTTTTTATTCGTTTCGATTCTTTGAGGGCCGGAACAAAGGCCGGCTTTGAACGAAGACTTTCAAAGTCCTGTAGTCCTCTCTGGCCACGTCAGAGATAGATCGCGCGTGGAATAAAGAATTTAATAGAATTTTATTACACCATTCTTTTTCACGCTCGACGACTACCGCGGCCATTCTTTTCGCGGGAACATCACGCCATCC